ACCTTCAACACACTTTCTGGTGATCATGCATCACAATAATCTTGCTTTACAAACTACAGCTCATTTAGACACAATTGTAATTACTCCACATACAGAACAGGCCAAAAATTCTGCCTTTTTAAGTTTCACTGATTTGAATAATCAACTAGACCTTTGATGCAAAGCTATTTCGTTATTCATTGGTTTGTTATGCATAATCTTCAACAGAAATATCACAGATTATTATTTTTGTAATAAAATGCATAAAATCAACTACATTTGTGATTATTTTGGCATATCTGTGTGTATTAACTGATTTGATGCCCTTTGAACACGAGAAAATAATTCACGTTTCAGTTTACATTTCATTTGGTGGTTAGGGGCTGATTTTTCCTCTGAAAATAGGTGGTGCCCACACAAACGAGGTTATTTGCATAATAAATGCATATCTTATGAGCTTAACTCATAACTGATCATTTACAATATATATCAAACCCCATATCTCTCTACAAAAAACAAGAACAGTCTCTGAATTACTTCATTTTTTCTGCTTCAGCTTTGATTTCAGACCAGCTTTGAACCACGAAACGCTTCAGCCAGAAAAGACGACTCACTGAGCATGATGGTTTATTCATTCTGGTTTATTTCAACGCAGGAGTTCTCCACATTCAGTCAGTGAGATGATTTACACCACATCACAGGGTTCAACCAACCAGACGCTCGTCGACAAACGGCTTCACCAGACAAACAGTTAAAAGGTCAAACGATGAGACGGAAACTTCACGCTCCTGTCAGCTGACGTGGCCTCGCGCTGCTTTTTAACTGTAAAGTTCTCTTTATTTTTTCTTCTTTTTTTGATCACGTGTACATCACATCACACATGTAGGGAAAATGAGAGTGCACCTTGTAGCTAAAACACGACAGAAGTCTGTAACTTCTCTTTGAAATGACAAGAGGTTCAACCACAGCACAAGCAGACCACAGAGAAAACCCCCAAAAAACTGACATATTCAGAGCTGATTCTACCGGCGATTAATATTTACAGCAGTTCTGTTTTTTTATTTATTTATTTTTACTTCCACAGGATTCATCCAAACTTGCATGAGCAGTTCGGATAGTTCTTCTATCATTCACAGGAGTACAATTTTTGCACACTATTACCTAAGTTGGTTTGACAACAAAAAGGCAGAATCAGTCTTTAATAAACAATAGGCTGTGCATTAAAAAAAAATTTAAATTAAAAACAGCAAAATTCAATTAAAAAAGTATGTTGTGCACAAAAGGCACTCAAATGTTTCACACACAAGCGTGTAAAAAAACTCTAACTCATGAATATTTCACCTCTGTACTTTTTGAATCCTAAATTTTAACAGGTGCAAAACTACAACAGACAACAAAAACAATATGAATTAATGTAAGCATTAATAAAACAACTCCAAGCTAACCCCCTTAATGCCCATGAAGTTCAAGACCTGCTGACTCATTAGATGAAGCAACACCAGCAGGAACCAGCGGAGGGCGGGAGTGTACCAGTTAAATGCTTTATTTTATTTTGTTTTGGCTTGAAAAGTTCTTCTCCTGCACAAATAAGAACCAACCATGAAGGTTAACAAGGAAACAAAACATCCAGCAAATGTCAGTTTGCAGCATCTGTAGCTAACACGAACCAGTTGTTGGAAAGAATATCTTACCTGTTGTACATAACGTTGAGCAGCTTCAGTTTAGAGAAATGGTTCTGAAGCTAATGACTTGAGCAGAGCGGGCCGAGAACAAAATATTTTGTTGCCATCTTAGAACTGTAATTTTAACAATCTTATAGTAGACGATAAGAGTATTGTTTTATAAAACTTTACACTATTATTAATTTTGCCTTATGCCTGGCTCAGACTGAGATTTTCAGTTGTCGTAAACATCCGGTACATTCCACTCTGAGCTCGGTCGAGGTTCTACAGTTTGGATCATAACCTGTGTCACAATCACAATGCAAGTTTTAAGAAAGGCTGGACTTTACGACGTTTTGCTGAAAGTGATTTAAGAATGTAACAAAGATCCAAGAGATCCAACAAAGTCGTAGTTTGTTATCTTTGGTCGTGAGAATCAGCTGTCGGTGAACTCTTTTTTTATGGTGCCAGATTTTGCCAAAAACGGCACCGTGTGAACCCGGCTTTACTCCGTTAATATGACAGAAAAATTGTGATACAGTAGTCCCTCGGTACTTTGTGGTTCGTTTTTCGTGGACTCGCTCTATTGCGTTTTTTTTAAGTAAGATTGGACGTGACACACAGTTGGCTTATTGATGGATGAGCCAGATGATCGGCATGGATTTTTTAATTTAAAGTAAATTGTTTTAAATTATTTAACACCCCACATGTGCAGAAGCTTCCTCCTGCAGCTGATCAGCTGATCTCTGTGCAGAGCGGAGAGGTGGGCATGGCTAAGAGCACTTGCAGGTGACTGAGAGCTGAAATGATGACATTCTGTGCTCTTTTAAAGCGTTTAGAGTTTAGAAACATTGTTTAGAATATTGCAAGTGTGGGAAAGGTTTTAAACGCCTTTA